TGACGTAATGAAAAAAACATCAAAGTCTAAGAGGAAACAAGTAAGTGCGCATATACAGCTCACGTATGTTTGTTTAAGCATATTTTACATATTTAAATACAGTAGTTACTTTCTAGATGAGGGCTCTCAAATTAATCTGTCAGGTTTTCAGGCTTGGCAGGGTAAAAGGTTTTCTTGCTGGGTTCTAACAGAGTAGGGGAAAAGCATCACTTCAGTGGTAAAGAGCTAAATAACCACACAGTTAATGGAGGGAAAGTTGAGGAAAATAATTACATTAATTCACTTCAGACCTGATCCTGCAACCTTTAACCATGCAATGACATTCTTTGCCCAGCAGCAGACCCAAATTTACACTTTGCAGAATCACATCCTTACTGAGGTAGAGATTGCCAAATAGCTGTTAGTGAGGGAAGTGCCATGTGTGCCAACTCTAGAAACCAGTAAGGCAGTACAGTCTGCCCTATATTTTCAGACTTTTGGTACCTTACATAACTAGGTGCAAAATATTTATTTTTATTTCTGGTTCTTTTCTTTGGAAGTGCAGTCATGTGCAATCAGGTGGAATAAGTGTGCTGATAATTTTCCTTCAGAAATTGTAATGGTTAGCGATGTGGACACTTTTCTTTTTAGGCAGAAACCATGAGGCACTGAAGCAAGCATTCACTTTTCTTGCACTTGAGGTCACAAATTTATGCAAGTTAAAAATGTTGGGCCTGCCAAAAACATCATGCTACACTCCACCAAATAAAAGGACACTGTTATTCTTACAAGGAAAGGTTTGACAGGACAGGAAATAGGCAGGGTCATAGAAGTTTACTTAATACCGAAACTTATTTAACCATCTTTAAGCCAAAATACAACTATCGTTATTAAAAAAAAAAAATAAAAAAAATTAAGGGGGAGCAGGAGGGGGACAGGGCAGAGACAAATACTAGAGCACTAGACTGTACTATTACAGGAGTAGCCACCAATACAGAAACTAGGAAACCTTAATAAAAATTCACATAATTCAGGTTACTATACGTCACCTGCCTTTACCGGGTTAACACCTAAGTAAGTTTTAATTTATGTCCTGAACTTGCAGCAAGGGGCATCTGACTTGAAGAATCCAATGCAGAGTTTACCAAGCTATACACTACTTTCATTACAGTGTAATTCCTAAGTCAACTGCATTCCACTGAAAGGAATGGAGGAACGGGGAGTAAGAAGAGAGTGAATATAAGAGATAGGAAAAATGTTGCTGTTCATTACAATTTTCCATTTTTGTTGAAACACAGCAGGAGAGCAAAGCCACAGGCTTCTCTACTGCTCTTGCATGCCAGGAGGGATTATGCAAACACTGCAACCACCCAAATCTTATTTAAATTATAGTCATTGTTCCCCCTTTAATGGTTATACTTTTGCCTGCTTTCACTCAAATATTGCTGCATCTTGCTTTCCGCCAACATAGTCCCAATGGGAGTCATCAACTCTTAATTATAGATGAGCAGATCTTTGAAAAATACCTCTGGAAAAAACTGGAAAAGAAAGCAAACTTTAAGTGCCATCTAGTGGCTGGTCTACTAAAACCCATTACATAGATCCAAAACATTCTTAACATGCCACAAAGTAATATAACTGTAGCTGAACTGAGGAAGCAGTGCTTAAATTCGCAACCACTAAAGACCAGGTTAATATTTTAGGGAACAAGAAAAGGACTAAAGACCAATGGCATCATTAGCATAATTTTTACTTTAAGATTTTTGTCCATAAGTGGAGAGTTCAAGTGGTAGGAATTGTATAGTGATCACCTGTTCCTTCTAGACCCTCACCAGCTTGTCAGCTTCTGCCTTGCTAAGTAATATGTACGTCAGTCCAAATCAGGAAATAGAACCCTTTCAGATCTCAAAATACAACCCAAACCATGGGGGTGAACCTGGAGCCAAGCATCTGGATTCGAAAGTTACCATTCTCCTCCAAATTCACATGGTGTCGAAGGTGAGATTTTCTCTATTTGTAACAAGTCAAATCCATTTCTAAAAGAAAGGAAGCAGATGGTTAGTTAATAATGACCTTTCCTTTCCCTGCAGGAAAAAGCCATTTTCTGCTGTAGGTGAGAATTCCCAACGAATTATTTTTCCATTATAAAAGCTCCACTTTCAATCACACAGAGCACATTCAACAAGAGCATTCCCCAAGCCTTAGCTAACTCCTTTTGGAGATAACGTGTCCCTCTTAAACAGCTTGTCTGAACCTGTTCAGTGATAATGGAGAGCAGCCCATCATAATTTTTATTTTTATTTTTTTTTTTTTAAATGGCATTATACTTTGGACTTCCTTTGGAGCTTTAAATCGGTTCAGTTTCATGCCTATAGTGAGCCCTAGGGATCACACCTCAGTGACAGGCTCTGGAAACATGAATCTGCCTAGACAGAAGTAAGACCTACACATCTATGTGTCTGTTCTCACGAGGTTACTTGCTCAAGCATGCTGTTCAGTCAATGACACACTCAGCCACTTTTTCATTGAATTACAAAACTAATTTACACCTAATTAATTCAGGCAGAAGATCTCAGATAAAGTAATGAACAAGATCAATGTGTTTCCCAGTCCTCTCTTTTTGCTAATATAAAAAACTTTTAAACATTTTAATTTTTATTTAAGAGGATCAAATGTGCTAATTAAAGCTTAAAATGTACCATTATAAAGAGGGAAATTTAAACCTTGTTGAATAAGTGCTGCTCTATCTTCTTCCCCTTGCTTATAGGGAGAGGGTCAGTTTTATGCACAAGAGCAGGGGAAGTTAAAAATAGCTTCTGCGACAGATGCTGTTCTGTGTACGTTTGCCAGATATCAACATAAAATACTTCTGTAGCACAGGTAATATTAATGGGAAAAGGGGAGATTAAAACTATTTGGAGTGTATTGCTTTTCGTTATCAACGAAATTGAGGAATTTCCTTTAAAAAGAAAAAGAGGGAGATGTGGAGCAGCATGGTTTGAACCAGAATGTAGCCAACGCTGTTCTAAGAATTCTCTACTCGCTGTCAATGCGAAAATCAACACAGGCTTCAATACAGGCCCTGGTCTGCAGTAGTAAGTATCAGCTTAAGAACTTTCAACACGTCGTTGTGTTGCCTGGCTGGAGCACTTGTCTTCTACAGCTTTGCCGCTCCTATTGAAGCAAAACCCCCACACCCCAACAGCAGTTACCAGGACTGGTTACCCTCGTGCAATGGTTTGGTGCGCAGGGAGGAGCTCAGCGTAGAGGTGAGCTTGAAAGCATTCCTGAAAAACAGGCTTCTCCAAGGTCCTTCTGGGAAGAGCCTTGCAGTAATCTTAAAACTTAATATAAGCTTTCCTAGGCAAGCGGTTTGATGAACTCAGCTAAGCTAACTTCTCAAATAAGTGAGCCCTGTTTGGTAAGGACACTTGGACACCAGTCTGTATGTTGACAACCTGCAGCAGGCATGGATTTGTAAATGTACGTTTCTTCCTCCTATGTCTGAGAGGGTGCTTCTTCTAGCAGATACTATTCCTTCTTATCTCAGAATCTGGAGTGTTAGTATTACTTCCAAAACCAGAAATCAGATGTTTCCAACAGGTACAACAAATGTAAGTATCAAGAAAACTCAAACTTTTCCTTGTAGGCTGCTGTTCCAAGCAAGATCATCTTATAATATCTTTTAAAAAGGACTTGCATCAGTGTATTCCCTGCTGTTTTTTCGCTGTGGGGAGAGAAAAAGAGCAGTAGCAATGCTTGTTCTCAACTTAAGAGTCCAGCAAGAGGAAACAGCTTTACACAAAAGGATCATAGTTAAAAGATCTTTAAATAACTTTTGGTAATTGAAGTTCCTTTTTGGCAGGTTATAGAACGGAAGAAACTTAGTGTCAAGATCAGCAGCTCCAATTCATTTAAAACTTCATTGGTATGACGTGCTTCTTGCTTACAATAGGCTTTTGCATGGCAAGCCTGCTTGTGAAGGTCTGGGTGTACAGATATAAGCACAGCGTTGTGATAAGGGTAGGGAAAAAAAACAAACTGATAAGCATATAATGCACATGGAGGCAAAGACGTCTACCCCGGTCAAAGATGAACGTACTTACTGTTTCAGCACTGCCAACTCAATGCAATCTCCATCCTATGGTTGAAGGAATGCGAATGCTCTCATATTACATTTAATTTTCCAGCTCCTTGGGGAAAAGGGGTAAAATGTATAAAATGTGCAATATTTGGGGCCTATTTTGCTGGAAAGGGTTAGTCCTCGACAAGAACATTAAGCTAATACCAACTTGATTATTATGAGTAACAATAACTTATGAATTTGTTAATAAATATTTCAAGAGCATATTTTATAGCATTTATTTACTGTATTGAAGATATTTCCAGACGACATGTTATTTAGCTCAAACGGTATTGCCTGCTCTTTTAATAGAGAGCTGAAAAACTGGCTGCTTGAGGATCAGCTAAGGACCAAAGACAGAACCTTAGCTGTGAACAGGAACACAAGTATTTTGATAGGCTGCACAAGATGCAATATTCAGTACCTTTGCCTTATTGTGATTTAGGGGTCAGAGTGGGAAGTCATATCGACACTTGTGAAACAGGCTCTCAGCATGAAATCCTGAGCTATATGGAAGATAGCTTTCAGAAGATTAACACAAACTGGCAAGGGAACAGTCAGCCATTTTAGTTTAGGTGAGTAAAATAAAAATCAAACCATTAAGTAATTTTTAAAATTTATTACAGTATAATCAGCACATAAACAATAAGCTCTTATTACTGAGGACTGAACATCTGAAAAGAAAAAAAAATCCATCAACTTATCAGTCAGTCATGCACATTTCCCCATAACGCAGGTGACTTCACTGCCTGTAAAAACAGACAGGAGGACAAACACAGAGATATCTACAAAACTTGAATTTATTTTCTTATGTACTCCAAAAATACCACATCTAATTCTAATAAAAATTTAGAAATAGCATAACAAAAAAAATATAGAAAGGCTGTTCAAATAACTTTCAGTTCTTTCCTGTAGAACCAAAACCGTCTTCGCCACGTTCTGTATCATCCAGAGCCTGAAAGACATCAATTATGGTAAGTTGGTTTAGTGTCTTAACTTGCCTTTTGATTCTATACAACAGGTATTGTCTATCATAGGGGAAGGTACATTTACTCATAATAATAGCTATAACTGAGAAACTAAACCAAAAAAATTGAGACATTTTAGAATATCTTTTGTACAAGTTTAAACAAACCCCACACTGTGAGACAACTGTTTCTAGTATATACTGAAGTGCCTCTCAAGTACCTGTTAGCTCTGACAACTACAAAAAAAAAAAATCTAGGTAAATGAATGCAAAGCATCAAGATTTTTATTCAGGTAGCAATGCTACTATGCAGTTCTAACACTGAAAGTAGTTTCAAAGCAAAGTATTTATCTATACCACAAATTGCAGCTTATATACATCTATCTTAAAATATTAATTATCAAAAATAGCAGAAATATTTTCTTTTGGCAACTTACTTGAACTTCTTCTAGCTCAGGATAGCAAATGCGTTCACAGATGAGCTGGGCAATCCTATCCCCTTTTTTAACTGCAATGAGGTTAAAATATTAGTTCCTTCAAAAAAAGTGAACAATCAATATAATGTTTAAAGAATCCCCTTTCAAGAGCGTCAGAATGTTCTAAAGCGTAAACACTTAACTGAAATTTAGTTAAGCAGATGTTAACGTTCCCAGAAAAATACAGGCTGAGATAAACTTGTGCTTAGTCCTTCTGAGGTGAAGTTTCAGCAGCAGTACCAGCTCAAGGCATCTCCCCTCAGTCCTGCTGCCACACTGGGGCATGTGAAGTGCCATTACACATAAATACCGCAGAGACGGAGACAGCTGTGTGCATCATTGTGGCTCCTTTTCTGAACCAGACCCAGGAACCGATTTCTCAGAGCGGGGGGGAACCCAAACTGATAAAAGGAAAACAAAACTTCTGACTTGTACCCAACCTGTGGAATCAAGTGCAATCTTTTTGTGTTTCCTCAACAGGACATTGTTAAGTTTCCATGTTTTTGTTAATTGTAAGAAGAAAAATGTTCTCAGCTAATTCTAACTCTTCATAGACTTTTAAAGAAAAATCAGTTTCTCAGCGGCTCTGCCAAGCTTAGCACTTACCTTCAAAAGCCTCCTTGCCAAAGTTGAAGAGTACCACACCAACATTTCCCCTGTAATCCTCATCAATAACACCAGCTGCCATAAGAAAGAATTAAGAGTGATATCCAGTTAATAAATGCTGTCAGCATATTAGATAAGATTTAGATTAGATAAGGCTTAGATTAGTAGATGATATTGACAGTATTGATTAGTATCTCATATTGACATCCTTTATACTACTCAAGCACAATGAAACAATATATATGAAAACACTGAAATATCTAAAAATCCTAATCAATCTTGCAAAAAGAACTGAAAAACATCATCACATATCAAGAAGTGTTTTACCACTGTACTGCTAATTTTAGCTGTAACACCCTATCCAAAATCAAGACAGCTGGACCAAATTCAGGCTCCATTTGTTCTGCTAACTTCAGCTCTCTTGAGTGTCAAGCAGAAATCTGTTCCTAACTCTTAACATTTTATTTGAGAGCTATGGCTTTGCACAGATCCAAATCCCGTATCTCAGGCAGAGTAACAGAACTAAAGCTTTAATGAATTGATTGTCATTCAGCTACATTCAAGTGTAAATGCTGTAAAACAAGCTTGCTCTTATATTTTTATATAACCGCATTAACTGTATAGTTCAGGAGACTATCTACCAATGCACATTAAAATAATCATACTCTGCTTCTTTGGGGTTTTTCTCACAGATACAGGAAGCATGTTTCCAGTAGAAAACCTGGAAATTTGGCTTCCTTATGGACCAAGTATGTATTTTGAGGTCTACTTGCAGAAATAATTCAAATACTAAAATTACATGTCATTCCAAGACATTCACAGACTCGTACATACAAAGTCCTACCTTTAGAGATTATAAGCACCAGAGGAAACTGTAGTATGACTGTACCTTGAAGTTTTAACGTTGAACCACAAACACACACTTAAGAACAGAAGACTAAAGGGTTTTTTCTTAGTTTCATCAGCTGTGTGAAAATATCGCAGTGCCTATGGTCCACAGTTACTGCACAATCTCTGCACTAGTTCTAGTGTGAAAAAGGTGTTCATACAGCTCGCTTTCCCTTGTAATGTTATGGGTTAATTAATTTCATTTCTGAACAGCTTCCTAATTAAGGTGCTAGTACTGCTGGGAGCATCCCCTGAGTTCTGAATATTCAGAAAAACATGCAGTTGTCAAGTTAACTCCCTGGTGTTTAGCCGCATGCAATCACTTAAAGGGACAGAGCACTGTCAAAAGTAGCAGTGAAAAAAACATAGGGGTTGCTGTGCATGAACATTTTCCAGAATCAAAAAAAAATTATTTAAAATCCTGAATGTAGCATTCAGGTCAGTTGATTCAGAGAGCTTGATGTACCAAAGCTACACGGACAGGTCTCGTGCTGTTTATGTGGTTTACAGTAGATCAGCTTTCAGGAAGGCAACTACACACCAGTTAAATTGAGAATTATAGCACATTACTTATATTGGTGATCCTGAGCTTTCTTGCACAATTTCTACCACAGTTCAATGTTGCAACTCAATGCTTAAAATATTAAAAATCAAATCCTATGCACGTGTCAAGTGTATAAGTAAAAAAGGCTCAACTATAAAACAATACCATTAAAATTTTGCCTTCTTACTTCTAGCAAAGTACTATTCCTTCCTCTTTTTTTAAAATATCAGATAATCTAGAGCCCTTACATAATTGCTAAACCAGAGGTGACACAAAGCATTAACTAAAGAGCGCTACACAAGTAATTTGCTTTGTTTTATACAACAGCAGACAGTGAGTCCATGCTACATAGATGCATTACAAAGAGAGATTCAACAAACTTGCAATGGTAGCACGAATAATTTTAAGCATCACTCAAGTTCTGCAGTCAGTTGCCCTTTAATTTGGTGTCCTTGTTCACAGGAATCAATCAGCTGGAGAGCTGAAAGCCAAATTCATATAAAATTATGTACATATGCTCATAAATGCATATTAACATATCATTAGCTCTCTGGATAAATTCTTAATTTGACAAGCCATTCTCAAGTGTTTCTGTACAGCTAAGACAACATTTTTCTAGACCATATGCTGGGATAGATATTGCTATGTATTAGAGATTGATAACAGAATTTGCTAATTTAACATAACGAGGGCTAGTTTTATTTCTGTTGTAATACAGTATTCTGCTCTAACACAAGACTCAAAACTGATTACTACAGATTACTAATTCTATTTAAATGGAGATTATGCTTTTATATATATAAAATGTACCAATTAAAGTAGCACAGTCAGATTTATACATGTAAGAAACTTGGATGTCGCATTTTTGCTGGAATTATCTGAAGAAAATTTATAGAACAGAACAACTGGTGCTACTTAAAGTCATTCTAAATTAACTTTTCTGCCTTCATGTCTGTGACAGAAAGCAAATTTATTTCTACATAATGACAAAAATTGTACTTGATGTATTGGTTGTGCTTAACTGCTAATGAAGCTTTTTGACTTCCCAGACGCTGCTGCTATTTTCTGGGAAAGAAAAAAACCCAAACAAAAAGAGTATCTAGAACTTAGCTTGTACCAGAGTAGCTGGAGCTTAATGGCATGTTAGTATTTCTACCCCTTTTTAAAACCCCAAACCTTTTTTTTTTTTTTTTTTTTCTGAAAAGGAGTGTTACAATGGATCTATACTGATTTACAATTAATCTAGTCAGATCGCTTTGCTGACCTTTAAACAATGGCATTAGCACAATCTCAGCTTTATGTACAGACGCTAAAATTTATTTTATAAGTATTTGTTGGAAAGGCGGTCATCTAAACAGGTACTTCTGTAAACATACCAAATTCTTTTGACCACCTATTTGACTACTGCTACAGCCTGGCTCTCCAGGATTTGAAAACTGTCTGATAGCTAAAGATGGAAAACACTGATGAATATTTCTGTGGCTGAACTGCAGTCAGCAACACTGAAAACTTCAGTCACTCATATTATTCATTAGCGTGGAAAAAACCCTCTCACTAAACCACACTAATTTTCTAAGCTTAGCTATAAAGCAAACACCTTGTAATGGTTCTGCAGATTGTATTGGATGTATTTTCTAGCAGGCAAGAATTGCACTTCCTGCACACTTCTGAGAACATCAGCTTTCCAGAGGATGCAGAGAAGAACAGGCTTCTTCCTTAATAGTACACCCGATACAAACAGAACTTGCAATTAGAGTTGAAGTTATGTCTTAAGAAAATGACATTTAAAAATACGTTTTGTGGCCAAAACAATTAGTCTAATGCTATGCTGAGTGACTGAAAACACTGCCAAAGCCATGACAATTTCAAATTCCATTAAAGGCACAGCTGGGTAAAGATTTTGTGAAATGAATTACTTGCCAATCTTTTTCTCTTTAAATGTGTTACACCTCCACTGACGTAGTCTCACTGAATTTAACCATCTCTATTTCAAGTTCAACCACACTATCTGTATCGGAGAATGTATGATCCCTGAAGATAAAAGAAAAATAGGACCCAGGAAGACCTCATCAGTTTTCCTTCTCTACAGAGTCACAAACATGCTCTATGTAATTGGCAAGACACATTAACATCCTCGGCTTTCTGTTATTCTGGAACAGCAAGTTGCAATAATTACATACATTGCTGGGGACTAAGGCACTTCTCTAAGTTATGTCTATTGGGTGGAAATCACCTAAGTAATTTGTGGAAAAAGCAAGCATTGGAATTGGCAGCTTGACATTCTGTCTTTGTCTGTCAGAAGTTTGGCATGTCACTTGTTGGGGAAGCATCCACACCTAGCAGATGTGAATTATGAACATATTCTTGCATAACCCCAATTTTTCTCCTTGACCCATCAGACTTCTGCCAATGTATTTTTACTTAAATGGATAATGCCCTCATTGTGACAAAAGTACTTTTGCAGGACAAATTAAAATATGTAACCATTGTTTTGGTTTTGTTTTGTGGGGTTTTTTTGGTTTTTTTTTTTTACTAAGTCATCCTCTACTAACTGTCAGTAATAGTTTTTACTAATTTTGTCAACTGTTAGCTCTTAAAATCTCCACTCAGGTCATCTCCAAAGCACTTCTGGTTGCCTTCTGGTATTTCCCAGTTTAACTTTCAGATTGAAAAGATTGTTCCATATAAACCAAAAAATTGTTTCAGCAGTATCGCTTTAGAGAACCACACTATAGTAGACCATGTGTACTAGAGAGTCACAGGGGTGTAGAGAATCTTGGATTCCCACCTTAGTGCTCTTGTATGTTACCTAGCAACACTTAAAAACCCTCAGTGTAACAGCCATGCAAGAATCAATTCTGACTTAAGACAAAGCCTGAACGGCACAAAGCTGGCACAGATGCTCCCCTTTAACCTCTCATATCAGAGCTGTATCACAGGCACAGCCAGACTTCGATATGCCATAAAGCAGACAGAACTAAAGTAGTTCTGCAGCAGCTCTAAATTATACTGGGAATTGCTTTGCTTTCTGGCTGGTTTGGCATCAGAAAGAGAAGGATGCCTAGAGCCACCCTTCCTTGCCTCTAGAGCCAGGCCTATAAGCAAGTTAAGGCTGAGTACCGCTGCCATAAGTAGTCCTTCTTGTTTACCATGGGGAGTGGGGGGAACAACAAACCAACAACAAAAAAAAACAAGTGAAGAGGAGCAGGCCTCAACTTCTCAGCACACTTTTCCTGTCAACTTCTGCTATCGCTCAAATTATAATGCACTTGCAAAAAATGTGCTCTCTCAGCCACCCAGCACTTAAGATACCCATTAGATGCATCTTCTTTATGCCATTACATCAGAATACGTAGGGTTTAGTCCTTTTACTACAACCCGTCACCAGAAAAATCAATTGCTTAGCGTTTTAGGACACAGAAAATATTTTATTTAACTTGGAGCTGTATTCTCGTACAATTAGAACAACATAATACACATTCAGTGCTAGTTAAATTGCTGTGGTTACAGCTATGCTCAGAATAACTGCCCAACAACCTCAGTGGTGAGAACTGTGCAATGTAGATGCCATTTTATAGTACAATACTTAGAGAATCTGCCTGTGCTCTGATCAGCCCTGCTGCAAAACTGGAATTGAACTTTCAACATTATTTACTTCATTTTGCAATTACAGGGATACGGCAAAAGGACAGTGAGGCCTTCATGAAGGCTTCTGATTATAGATATGCCTGTAACAGTTGTTTTTCAAGAAATATCTGTGAATTTCTAATCAAGGTTAAAGAAAAGCTCAAAATATTTTAAAAACCACCCTGTTCAAAACAAATCTGTTTCTAGTACTGAAAAACAACAATAAAAAAAAAACAGTGAAGACTTGTAGAAAGTGGGATTTTAGTTTTATTACTGTTTCAAAAGACTTTCAATTTAAGTCAATTAACATAAAGTTATTAGTTCAAATCTGCTTTACATAATTTGTTACATTTTCATCAGTAAGAGTAAACTAAAGCTCTTTTCATCCTAGTAATCAATTCTACCCACAGTAATCGTGGTAGAATTGTGCTTTCTATCATTCCTTTTGAATATCATTACTATATATTCTCTGTGTAAAAGAATATCTGTATATTATTGATTTAATTCATTCAGATCTTACACTAGACTGAAAGCAATCACACACAGATGTTTAGTCAAAATGGAGAAAGCAGAATGTAAAAAGCCATCTTTAAAGCCTAAACGAAAAAGTAACTGCTATGCCAGGCACTGCCTAGAGAAGTACAATATGGTTATTATTTTAAAAAATCAGTAATATTGTTATAATTTAGCAGGTTTTAAAATAATTATGACACACTGGCTTTCTGAGGTATTACCCAGTTATCTCCTTTTGCCAGACTACCAATGGAGCTACCATTATTTATTTATGCACTATTACAAGGTGAAATTAAGGCAATTCTATAACAAGATTTACAAAGTGTTAGTAAAAAGAACAAAAAATCTTACCACCAACATCTATGAAGTGCTTTGCAGCTAAACCAGAACGCGGTGCTAGAAAACAAGACATTTTTTTAAGTACAATTATTTATTTTGAAACTCTTACACAGTATTTATAGGTTACATACTGTGTGTTTGCACAGTTGTGGCAGCAAGAACTGTTTCCACAGTCTTTCTAAAATAAACACTATGTTACAGGAACTACTGTAAGTGTTAATGTATATACTAAACAAAACAACAGCTGCTACAGGCTACAATAAAACTGCAATCTTTAAGTGACATAAGCATTGTTCAGATCACCAGTTGCAGAGTAAGTTTCTCCACGGAAGGTGGCTGGAGCACACAATGACTATCTTATCTTGGTTTATTTTTGGTGGCTACCACTGGTTTGGAATAATCTCAAAAGACTATTAGGTCAATCCATTTAAATTACGAAAGAAAACAGTATTTGTGAAGCAATTTACTACGAAATGTTATACACAGATAAACTAAATGATGGGCATGGGGTTTTTTTACTTACCTTCACCTACTTTGATGAGGTACTAAAATGTTACTCTGCAAAAGTTTCTTTCTCTGGGATAAGAGAAACGCACGTGCAGTCTCCTTTTAGATAAAAGGACACTGCAAACTCTGATCACACTCTTCCACTGGAGTGGCTATTGCTCTTTTTTTTATTTTAAGATTTTCTACATAATACAGGAAAAGAATGTGCAAAACATAGAACCTGTACAAGATATTTTTTTCTCAAATATTCTGTCACAAAGTAATCAAATTCTACTACACTAGCACCCTTACTTCAGGGTTAATTCTTAAACATCCAGGGGTGTATTTTCTGTAGGTCCATTACCTATTGGTCTTTGTGACTGGAATTCTGAAACCACAGAGAAATACTGAACTATTGCATAGCCCCTATGTATGTACATTATGAAAATTTTTGCTAATCATCTTTGTCATTTGACATACACCAAACCTCAAATGTATTTGACAAGAAATGTCTATCAGAAGGCTCAATAAATCACACAGCCATGTGGCACCTCTTTTTTGTGTAGACTAATTCAGGAAGAATCTAAATGCAAAGATGGCGTCAAAGCCGTTCTACACTGACTGTGCAGCCTGTTCCTAGCCTTACGGTACTTGGTACTTACCTACTCGGCCGTAGCACCCAGAAGGAAGGGCAATTTGAATGTCTGTTTTCACTACAGCCTTTTCCATGGGTGGTATCACACAGTCATAGGCGCTGCATTAAAGAAAGAAACGCTCGTTTATACAGAATATTTTGAAAATTTTCTTCTCTGTAATTTAAGATACAAAACTACCCTGAATTATTCTTGCTTACATATTTACAGACTTACAAAAACATAATGCAGTTCCTAAAACACAAGATATTCCCATTTTGATGGTGCTAGCTTAAGATTTCATAGTGTCATTTGAACAGCATAATCTTAAGATTGCTAGTTTTAATGTTTTTTAACTGATAAGACAGACAAAAAAATACAAGTTTAACGTTAAATCAACAAATAGGTGAATGGGTTTGTGCAAAAGCAGGAAATTTAAGGATAATACACTTCTGATTAAGCTTTCTAAAGCAGATAAACTAGTTGTAATCAAAAATAATAATCTGTTGAGTAATTTTGAGGCAACAATTTTTTTTTTCTGAGCAGGTCAGAAGTTCATGATTCTGTTGGGAACTGCAAACTAGAGAGATTTTAAGAACTTTCTGAAGCAACTCTGCTGGAGGCTTAATGAAAGGCAGTGGTGACAATACCACAGTGAGACTGTTCTACTTGTTTAAGGCAAGCATGTCTTGGCTTTGAAGAACTGATTTTTAAACACTGGGAAGCATTGAAAGTGTTTTTGTGAAACTAACTTTTTCAAGGTGTACAGTGCACCACTAGAACAAGAATAGTAACAAACTTGGTAAGACAAAAGGAATACAAAGGAAAAGTGTCAAGTCTGGTGAAGCAAAGCTTCAGGAAGGAAGTCAGGCGAAGGAAGAAAAAGACAAGCTGATTATTCTATAATTCTAAAAAAGGGAATGTAGAGGAGGTCGCAGGGAGTTCAGATACAACTAGCGATTGTATTTGATCACAGAAGCACTACGCAAACAACCACAAGCTTAGCTGCAGATATTCCTGAACTTAGTAAAAACCTTTGAGTAACAATTATTATCAGTTCAAGCAAACCCAAATTCAAGTCTGTACAGCAACCCACGTGGTTTCCAGCCAGGAGTACTATCAAACTGCCACAACTCCCTTTGGCTGGCAGCGCCCAGCAGCCAAGGGGGAAGCAGAAAAGTGTAAGTGCTGGCGGGGAGGGTCCACCTGCACTACCATTTTTTTTTTCATTAGGGAGGCACCTAGTCAATGCCGGTGCCAACAGCAACTCAGCCTGACTTTCGGCCAACGGCTGCATCGCTACGTGATGAAACCGGTGCTGCAGCACGGCTGGACCGCAGATCTCTGGAAATGGAGAGGAATGGAGGAGCAAGGGAGTTAACAAACAGGCCAGCTCCGGCCTCCTCTTCTGCAAGGCTGGCGAGCCTCTCCGGGGTCGCTGCTCAGCAAGAGGACCTGCCTCATGAGGGCCGTCTCAGCCACCGGAGCCCCGAGCCAGGGGCGGGGGGGGCCAGCGCCTGCCCCTGAGAGGGAGCGGACCGGGGCGCGGCGTGGACTCTTCCCGGGGGTGGGATACCCTCACCTGTACAGATCGTAGCCCGCAGCCCGAGCAGAGCCCTTGGAGGGGGCGGAGGCGTTCTCGGACAGCTTAGTGAAGCGGAGCCGTGCGATGGGCTCCCCGGGCACCAACCCCTTCTGCCTCTTGCTGGGGGATGGCTGCGGGACGGCCTCGGAGGAGGGCATCGCTACACGGGGACGTGAAAGAGAGGAGACCTGCTGTGAGGGGAGAGGGAAAAGCCCGCGAAAACCGGCACAGCCCACTAAAGGCAGAAACAGAGGGGGAAATCGCTCCATCCCCGGCCGCTCCCTGCGCCGTGCACCCTGGTCAACCCCCG